CCTGGATTTGGGGGTTTCTCTGGGATTTCCCTTGGATTTCTTTGGCTTTTCCCCCCTGGATTTGGGGTTTTTGTCCGAGTTTTTCCCAAATTTGTTTCTTTTTCCCATTTTTTTTGGCAGGAATTTACTCCTCCACCGGGAAAATGTCCCCGGTGGGCGACTTCAGACCAGGTAAATCCCTGTTTTTCCACCTTTTCCCGGGTTTTTCAGGCGGGTGGGAAGCAGAATTCCCAGAGGTGCCTCCCCGGGGTCGATCCCGCCTCAGTTTTGGCTCCGAACGGGAAGTTTTTGCTCCCAAATTTGGCTTTTTGGGTCCAAACCGAGCAAAGAATCGCCCAAAATATCCCGGCATTTCCCAGAAATGGGAATTTCTGGCTCCTGGAAATGGGATTTTCACCTTTCCAGGCTCAAATCCAACCCCAGAGGGCATCAAAGGGAATCTTCTTATAAAATAAAGACATTTTATTATAATATTCTCTAGAATACGATAGACTTTTTAGAAATATTATAATAAAATATTATAATAAAAGAAATTTTAATATAAAAATCTATAAAACCATAAAAATTTATTATAAAATACAGATGACATTTACTGTATTTATGTTTGCGTTTCTATTTTAATATTTATTATTTAATATTTAATAATTTCTGTTTTCTATTTTACATTTTCTCTTTGATGTTTTCTCGTTTATACGTTATCTGGATATAAAATTATATATCTTTTAAAATTTATCTCGATATAAAATTATACTTATTTTAAAATTAGTATTAAAAATAATCAGAATTATTATTATTATTTACACTTCAGTTATACTATTATTATTATTTATACTTCAGTTATATTTTTATAACAATATATCACATTTATGGAAGTATTTATAGTACACGAGAAAAATAATTACAAATTATGTCTTAGATAAAATTATGTTTTATATAAACTATTGCAAATTATTATGAATAAATAAATATTGATATACCTAATATATTTAATATTATTTATAATAAAATCTCTCTATAAATACATTCTTTATGAATTAGGGAATGGTGGGATTGGAAGATGAGGGGATAAAAAGGGATAAAATCAATACAGAGGGAGAAAAAGATGGGAAAACCTCCCGGGAATCCCCGAAGGGATTTGTGGGATTTGAAAACAAGGGGATAGAAATGGATAAAAAATCGATATATGGGGAGAAATATTTGGGAAAACCTCCCGGGAATCCCCGAAGGGAAAAGGAAAATTCCCAATTTTTGACGCTTCCCAGGCTCAAATCGGAGCCCCGAGAGCCTCAAACTTCCTTGGAATTGCGGGATCGGAAGGTCAAGGGGATCAAAGTCGACCCCCAATCGATCCCAAATCCTGATTTCCCCGTTTTTCCCCCGTTTTCGAGCGTCCCCGGACAGTTTTGAGGACGATTACGACGACGTGTCCCTGGCGGAGTCGGAGCGGGACCCTCGGAGCAAACCCGGAACGGGTGAGGAGCCCCCGGGAAAACGGGAATTTGGGGGCTAATTCCACCTCAAAATGGGAATTTGGGGGCTAATTCCACCTTGGAATGGGAATTTTGGGGCTAATTCCACCTCAGTGTCTGAATTTTAGGGTTAATTCCATCTTGGAATGGGAATTTTAGGGGTTAATTCCACCTTGGAATGGGAATTTCGGGGTTAATTCCATCACAAAATGGGAATTTTAGGGGTTAATTCCTGATGGACCAGAATTAGACCCCATGGATCAAGATTAGGACCAGGTTCAGACCCCCAGGACCAGGATTGGGATCAGGATCAGCCCCCCAGGACCAGGATTGGGATCAGGATTAGCCCCCCAGGACCAGGATTGGGATCAGGATTAGATCCCTGGGACCAGGATTAGCCCCCCAGGACCAGGCTCAGGACCAGGATTAGCCCCCCAGGACCAGGATTAGCCCCCCAGGACCCGGATTAGCCCCCCCGGCCCAGGCTTTGCCCCCCTAATCCCGGTTTCCCTCCCAGTTTACACCCTGGCGGGGTCTCCAAACCCTTCCCGGGCCGGACCTTCCCCCTCCGCCGGAGCCGTCGCCGCTTTTCCCGGGAAAGCTGAGCTGGAGCTGGAGCCCCAAGGCCGGGATCGGGACCGGGACCGGGATCGGGATCGGGATCTGGGCCGGGCTCGGTGCCGGGGCGGCTCCGGGGCCGCTCTGTCCGTCCTGCTGGGGCTGAGCCTCCTGGGCTGGGCCCTGCTCCTCACCCTGGGCCTCCAAAAGCGTGAGCGGGGCCGGAAAAATCCGGGATAGGGCCGGAAAAATCCG